CCCCTTAGTATCCTTTGCCTATTTTTCAGAGCCCTTCAAGCTGGTCCTGGAGGGCCCCAGGCAAGAGCAGGCCTCCTGGAGAGGCCCCCAAAAGCGGCAAGTTCCACAGTTCCCTACTGTGGCTCAAACACCTGCCTGCTGACTGGCGTGGGTCCGGTCCAAACAAGATTAAAGACCACCAGGGTGAGTTTTTCGAGAAATTAAGTACATTCACTTTTTCAAGCACCAAGATGATTTTTTTTATTATTACTTTTTTGGCATTAAAAATTCATTTTGGGCTGGGGGCAGTGGCTCACGCCCGTAATCCTAGGACTCTGGGAGGCCAAGGTGAGGCAAGAGGATCGCTTCAGGCCAGGCGTTTGAACCAGCACGAGTGAGAGCAAGACCCCATCTCTCCAACAAATAGAAAAATTAGCTGGGCGTGGTGGTGCACGCCTGTAGTCTCAGCTACTTGGGAGGCTGAGGTGGGAGGATCACTTGAGCTCAGGCCTCAGCTTTCAGCCCGCAGTGGACTCTATTAACCTTCTCACTGTGATAACATGGGTTCAACTCCCTTCCAGGCTGCTCTCCATTTGTAGCTCGAGTTTTCCTGGGTTATTTCTTCCCTCTCTGTGAAGTGCTGGCGCTCGCATCTCTGGAGTGCCCACACAGAGCGCGTACGGCTGTGAGCCCGGGAACTTGTGCCCAGGTTGGAGGGTGCTGAGTCAAGGCGGCAGCTGGGGAGGAATGGCCACCCTTACAGAGAGCTCTGGGGCGCCTTTCTCATTGCTCCCTGTGCTCTGGTGTCAGCTTTTTCAAGGAGGGTTTGAGGGCTGATTTCCTCCGTCTTCATTTTAAAGGTTCTACTGCTTTCTCCTTTCATGTTGGGCTTATATGGTTTGGGGTCTCCCCAGTGCTGGCCTCACCTGGAACACTGCATCTTCTTTGAGGGACAAGGAATGACCTGGGGCTGCAGCTACTGCTGCATGGGGGACTCTGGCTGGGCTCCTCATAAAGCATCCAGAGGGCAAGGTTGTGTCTTAATGTCTTGGTATCCCCCAGCACTTAGGACAGGCGGCCCTAGCATACAGTAGGTGCTCAGCGAATGTTTGGTGAATGAATGAATGGATGGACAGATGATGGCAAGCAGCCTCAGCACCTCTGTCAACCCCCTACGTTCTCAGTGATGACCTAACCCAGTAAGCTCCCCGCAGCAGAGCTCCAGCCCCTGAGCTGGCCTCCTGGGCCCTCCTTCTCCTCCCACCCCGAGGAGGGCGCACAGGCGAGATGGCATCTTTCCTCGGAGACCCCTGCTAGGCTGGGGCCTGGTGGAGACAACTGGGGACTCTAATGCCCACCCACGTCTTCCTCAGACCCTATATCCCCTCATTTTGGATTTGTCTTTGTGGGCTCAATAAGCATTTGTTGAATTGGATGTTAATTCATGAAACAAAACAAAACTCCCATCTTACTTGATAGATTGTCCTGCAGATTAAAGGAGAGAATGCCTGCAAAATGCTTAGCATAGGGCCTGGTATGTGGCAGGCACTCAGTGGTGTCCTGACAACCCTGTAACTATATTTGCTGGATGAATGAACGGATGAGGACTGCTCTGTGTCCCCTTGCTGAAGTCCCTGTGTCTAGTGGCAGCACTCCAGAAATGGCGCAGCGGCATGACTCACCTGCCTGGCACTGGCCAGCCATGGACACATGCCCTTGGGGGAGTGAGACGTGGGATTCCTGTAGTTCCAGGGATGCCCCAGCCAGGACACAGCGGACTCAGTCCAAGCTCTGCCTTGGCAACTTGATCTCTTCTTCACTTGGGGTCCTGACCCTGTCCTCTTCCTCACTCCCCATTCAGTCACACTTCCTTTTTTGAATGGCATCTAACTGCAGACTGATTTATCTCCTACCTTCTGTTCCTGTTAGGGCGAGCTGTTCCCCTCCAGCAAGTTCTTCTCAGGGCTATCAGAGCTGCTTTCCTAAAGTAAGTCAGGTGGCACCACTCTCCCTCACTCAACATTTAGTGGCTCCCCACTTCCCACAGAATAAATATCTTTTACATGGCCCTCTCTGGTCTGTCCTCTGCCTCCTTTCCAGCCTTAGCCCCTGCTACCAGACTTTCTCAGAATAGCCATGCTCTCACTCATGAAAACTTCAGCTCCTGTCATTTCCTTAGCCTGGAATTCTCTCCCCCTGCACTCCACCTACCACCCTGAAGGCCCAGCTCAAACATCATCCTATCAACAGAAGTCCTCGAAGGCCCACAGTCAGGATGATTCACCCTCCCTTTGTGCTCCTTCACTCCTTTTTTTTTTTTTTTGAGACAGAGTCTTGCTCTGTTGCCCGGGCTAGAGTGCCGTGGCATCAGCCTGGCCCACAGCAACCTCAAACTCCTGGGCTCAAACGATCCTCCAGCCTCAGCCTCCCAAATAGCTGGGACTACAGGTGTGTACCACTATGCCCGGCTAGTTTTTTCTGTTTTTAGTAGAGACAGGATCTCATTCTTTGCTCAGATTGGTCTCGAACTCCTGACCTCAAGTGATCCTCCCGCCTCAGCCTCCCAGAGTGCTAGGCGTCAGCCACTGCACCTGGCCCATTTCCTTCACTTCTGATTCACACCTCTATGTAGCCATTTCTTCCCTCTGCCCTGTTTCTTACTTGACTTACAACTGACAAATGTGGCTAAAATAAATGCTGGGTTGGTAAAAAGACAGTAAGGTCTGGGCCTTAGGGGGCTCTTGGCAGAACAGACACTAGATCAAGTACGAGTTTAAATAAAATGGAGAGTAGGACAAGCCAGCACTCCTGCCCTGTTTCCTTATCCCAGAGAAAGTACAATTGCGCAGAACACCAGGATTCAAAGCCCTCCCCAGGCACGGGAGGAGGAAAATCCACGCTTCCTTCCCCAGTGTCCCTTCCACACTCCGTTCCCAGTTCTTTATTCTTCTTCAGGGACCAAACACTGGAGTTTCTCCTGCCCCAGCCTCCCACCCAGCAGCTGGGTAATCTCAGGGCCACACATTCCTGACAGTCCCAGGCAGGGTCTCAGCTGTCTGCCTTGTACGGCCCACCCATCTCCCAAAGCCCAGGTGGGTGGGCAGAGTCTCAGGAAGCCCAGATTGGCTCCCCCACCCCACTGACTCTCAGTTTTGGGGGCTGAAGCCTCAGTCTCCCACCGCCAGCAAGCCCCTCTGCCGGGAACACCCTGGGGTAGGAATGGGGCCAGCTGGGCCTTCGGGGACACCTGTCCACCTCTCCATCAAAGGTGTGGCAGCCAGGCTCTGCCTCCCCTTGACAGCAGAGCAGGATCCGCCCACACTCCTGCCCGCACCTTGTTCTCCTCTTCCTGCGCCAGCCGCTCCTCGATGAGCGCTGTGGCTCTCTGTACCGCCGCCTCGGAGCCCTCCATGGTGCCGTCCATGACTGCCTCTGAAGGCCACAGGGCCCTGGGGGCTTTATAGGCCAGAGCATCCACCCCCGCCCGGCTGGGAGCCTTTTCCATGACTCACTGGCCCAATTCTCCACCTGCCTCCCCCACCTGTCACCTTCACCTCAGGCAGCCCCAGGGAGCAGTGGGGGCCAGGGCCAGGAATCAGGGCCAGTTGCCCCCCCAACCCCCGGCCTATAGGAGCCGGAAGGCACAGCACCCCAAGAGCAGGGCTGCAGGAGGGAGCCTGTCCAGCCTCTGTCCTGAGTGCTTGGGCCTGGCTGGGCCTTAGCCAGGGCAGCCGGCTACACAAAGGACCCGCTGGCTGCATGCTCCAGCCTGGAAGGTGGTGCCACCTGCTGGATGCCTGGAAACCCTGCCCAGCCAGCACCAGCAAGGGGGCCTGAAAACCACACGTGGGGACCCGACAGGTCTGCACCCCCAGGCTGTCCTGCAAATAGGCCCCGCCGGCTACAAGGAGGGCTAGAGTCTGCTTGTCCAGGCCAGAGTACCAGGGCAGTGGCGGGAGTAAGGGCAGCTGCTTCCCTCTTTGATGGTGGCTCGTGGGGGCCTTTGCCTCTCTGGGGTCCCACAGTGCCCCCTAGCGAAGCATCGCCGCATTTTGGTGGCATGATTTGGTGGACAAATTTAGCCATCTGTCTCCTCCATCAAGGGCCTGGGGTGAGCCCTCTGCAGGGCTTACAGGGTCCTGCTTCAAGTGAGGGGTCTCAGGAAGCCAGAGTGCAGCGCCGACACCAGCAGCCGAGGGGTGCCAGCTACTCTGGGTCATCCTTCCCTCCCGTGCTTTTCCTGTCAGGCCCAGATGGTGCCAGGCTACCCTGACTGGGGCCAGCCATGCCCACTGAGAAGGAAAAATACTCAATTGGAAGAGAAAGCAGATCTGTACTTGCTCAGGTCCACACCTGGCACATGCAGGATCGAGCCCTGGGTCATGATGCCAGGGCTCACCAGGGAACCGCAGACGCCCAGCTCTGTGCTTCCGTGGAGCTCACGTGCCTGCCCTTAGCCAAACAACCTTATTTAAGAGTCCCCCGAGGGAAGCACAGGGAACCGGTTCCTTTCGCTCTCCGGTTCCCTTGCCAGCGAGCCAACACAAAGCTCTGACACGTGCTCATGATCTAAATCTGTCAGAGATTTTGCTTTAACATCCTGACGGGCTCAGCGTCTCCAGGACTTCCCGCACACCTCTGTCACGAGGGCGAGGACCCTCCCACTGCCGCTGTGGAGCCTCCTGCCTGAGGCGCTGCCTTCGAGCTCCGAGCACTTTCACGTCTGTTTTCCTGCTTAATCCACCCAGCAACTGATGAAGGAGGCAGGGCAGGCGGCCTCAGCTCCACTTTAAAGAGAAGCTAAGTGGGTTCAGAGGTTAAGTGGCTTTTCTGAGGACCCATGAGAACACAGGAGGAGTTGGGATCAGGGCCCAGAGGACTAGCAGTCCATGGTTCACTCTGCATGGACACCCTGCTGTGCCCAAGCAGCTGGGGAGGCTGGGCACGCACCTGTTGCCACACCAGAACAAGCCCCGGGCTCCACAGAGCTGCACAAGAACTCAGTCAAATGCCAGGCAAGAGAGAAGGAGCAAAAGGCTTTATTGATAAATATGCAGATATGTCTGTACACAGGGACCTGCTGTGGGGGCCATAACCAGGCTGCAGACTCCCCGCCTGGTTTATAGCCAGGAGATGGCCCTGTGCAGACCCCTGCCACAACAGCCCAGCTGTCCACCACCCGCCTCGTCTGTGCCAATTGTGCTGGGGGCAGGAAGAGGCAAAGGCCCGCCTTAGGCTCCCCGAGCCCTGGGGCTCACTGGTGGTTCCCTCCCCTCCAGAGGACTGGCACTGTGCCCAGAGCAGAGCCAGGGGTGGGGACAGAGGAGGGAGACAGCAGCTGCTTCAGACCCTGAGCAGAAAACCGGAATGAGCACAGCCGGTAGCACCAGATGACAGATCTGGGCTCCAGGGGCCTCCAGGCTGGCCCTCGTGGCTCGAACCTGCTGCGGGAGAGAGACAGGGTAGAGGCCCTTGTTCACCTCTTCTCTGACACGGCTGCAAGGCCTGTGTGTGGCAGCCTGCTCCCTGGGTGCCCTGGGAAGCAGAGTCCCTTCATGGCTCAGCCAGCAGCCACACAACAGGGTGGCACCCCTGAAGGACGTAACAGCACTCGAAGGCAGCAGCAGGGCGGGGGGCCTAGTGCTCCAGAGGGGGCCGTCCAGCCCCACAGGGGCCTCTCTTCCCAGCGGTCCGTGGGCCCATCAGTCTTGGGGTGGCGGGGGCTGGTTGATGATGACCTGGATGACAAAATCTTTCTGGATCTTGGTCTCCTGGAGCCGTGTGCGGTCTGTGAGCAGCTTCCCGGAGAAGAACCATCGCTGCCAGGATGGCTCAATGCCCTCTAGGGCGTGCAGCTGCCTTTTGAGCTGCCCTACCGTATCAGGCAGGCTGGCGCTGAGCCTCACGTCCTTGCCCGTGGACAGGCGCACCTTCAGTGGGAACTCATGGCGCACACTGGGGGTGGGCTCGGGGGGCTCCAGGTTCTCCTCCTCGGTGTGCTCCAGCAGCAGGTTCACGGGCGGCGACAGGCAGTAGATGGGCAGCTGGTAGCGATTGCCCAGCTCGTCGTAGCATTCACAGAGGGTGCCTGTGGGAGAGGCAGGGCTGTCAGAGTTGGCTCAGGGACCCACTCTCATGGACTGAATGTCTGTGTCCCCCAAATTCTTATATTGAAATTCTAACCCAAAATGACTCTATTTGGAGATGAAGCCTGTATGGAAGTAATTAAAGTTAAATGAGGTCATAAGGGTGGGGTCCTGATCTGGTATAATTAAGAGCTTTGTTTTGATTTTTTTTAAGGGACAGAGTCTTGCTGCATTGTCCAGGCTGGTCTCGAACTCTTGGGCTCAAGCAATCCTCTGGCTTCAGCCTCCCATGTAGCTGTGACTACAGGTGCACACCACCGTGCCTGGCTTACAGTTCTTGTAAGAGATACCAGACACTATCTCACTTTCTCTCTGCCCCCTCCCCTCCACATGAGGACACAGCAAGAAGGTGGCCACCTGCAAGCCAGTAAGAGAGCCCTCACCAAAAACCAAATTGGCCAGTACCTTGATCCTGGACTTTCCAACCTCTAGACTGTGAGAAATAAATATCTGTTGTTGAAGCCATCCAGTGTGTGGCATTTTGTTATAGCAGCCTGAGCAGACTAATACAATTGCCATGGCCACTCCATAGTCAGGTCTCCCTGGGACAGCCTTATGATCAGAGGAGCACAGAGGCTGGTGTCAGGAAGACTTGGCTGGCACCTTGGCCCCACTAGGTATGGGCTCATTCAACCCTAGCACATCACTTAACTTTTCATCTGTACACATGTGCTGGCTGCTAGGGTTACAAGGGACAAATGAAACAGCACAGGTCCTGCTCTTCATAGACTGCAATTTCCTTACTGGTACAATGTTAATGCCTGTAGAAGTGTTTACTGTCTTTTGAGCACCTACTAAGTGCTGGGACTGGACTAAATGATGTTAGGTGTATCTTCCTGAATCCTAATAATCATCTCCCCTTTACAGCTGTGAGGTACTTAGGCTCTAAATTCAAGAAGTTCACGGTCATGCAGCTGGGAAAGGGAAACACTCAAGGTAAAACCCAGGTCCACGACTCCAGAGTTCCATTGTTACCCTCTGCTTTACACGGCCCCATAAGGCTGCTATGAACTTAAATGAGATGATGCAGTGGAAGCTTCTAGTTCAGTGCTCAGCACATAATAACCCAATAGAAGGTCACGTCTCAGATGTTCTGGGACTCCAAAGCACTCTGAGCAAGTCTCTAGCTTGCATTCATCACACTGCTTTGCAGGGCTGTTGGTGTCTTTCCATCCCCTCATTAGGCAAGCAGGAACCGTGTCTTGTTTTCCTTTGTGTCCCCACTCCTGGCCCATGCTCAGTGAGGGCTGCTTGAATGAGTAAGTGAATACCCGCCCCCGCCCCCCAGCTTGGATAGAACCTCCTGACACGTGGCTGGCCACCGGCTCTCCTGTACCCCTCGGCTGTGCTGTGACTCCTTAGCTGCGCTGCAGCAGGGATACAGCCCTGGCCCTGCCCACTCACCATGAGGCAGGGTGATGCTGGCTCCATCCAGGATGGCCTGGGCCAGCTCGTGGTCGTTGGCCTCGGCGGCATAGGCGGCGGCCTTGAGGGCATCCCAGATCTCCTTGCGGCCCTCGAAGGCGGGCGCCGTGTCCCAGAACTCATCTCGTTTGCTCCGCAGCTGCCCGTCAGTCATGGGGTAGTCACTCTTCCACTTGAGCCGCTCCTTCTTCAGGGGCTCGTTGCGGCCTGGGCAGGACACAGGGAGAGGCTCAGCATCTCCGACGCCGCTCGAGCTGCGGTCCGCTGTCTCCCTCACCTCCCTGGGCCAGGCCCTCGCAGCCGCTGCCCTGGCCCCTAAGTATTTAGGTCCCTGGGGCCCTTCCTCGATAGCAGGAAACAGGACACTCCACATACCCAGCCCAGGCACATAAAGTAGTTCTGTTCGCAAAACATATGCTGCCTTTGTCTCTACTGTTTGTTAAGTTTTAACTTTATTCTTTCTTTGGTTATAAAGCAGTACATGTTCAGTATTTAAAAATCTGGAAAGAATACACACATGTAAAAATAGTAACTACCACCATCTATGGAGCCGACTTGTGCCACATCACAGGCGAGGCACTTGGGACTCATTATTCATTTGATCCTCAAAACCACCCAACAGATGGGGACACCAAGACCCACAGAGTTTGCTGTTTGTCTAAAGCCACACAGGTACTGACTTAGTGCAAGACTTCCTGACACCAAAGCCCACCTCTGACCACTGTCTGTACCATGCTGCCGTTGGGGGGAAAATCACTCAATCCCACCATTCAGAAGTAACCACTGTTACACCTCAATCTGTTTCCTTCTCACTTCCTCCCCCCAATTTTCTCAATATAGTTGAGTTTATATTATGAAGTCTATTTCCTTATATTCCTTGTTCCAGAAAGGATTTAAGAGATTTATATGCCAATGTACAACTTTGTTTATTTCACTTATATTACCGTAAATTTCCCAAATGATTAAAAATTATAAACAATTTTAATGTCTTGTTACTAATGTCCCACGGTATAGATGGTCACAAAGAATTTTCTTTTAAAATCATAACTAATCAATCAGCCAAAAATTCCTTCGGCATCTGAAAAAAAAAAAAAAAGCAATTCTGTCAAATGTCATTTTTCTTGTCACCCAGCTCCAAGGGACCTTTAAGACAACTCCAGACCATGGCCAAGACTGAGGGTAGAGGTGTCTCTCAAAGGATTTTGGAAGCCCAGTCATTTCAAAGTGATCTACAAGAGTGAGGTCTAAAGTACTCAGCTTCTACTGTAATTCAGATCCTACAAGTGACAGTTGGAACCAAGGCTGGAGGCTGCCACCAGGCGGCTACTGGCTGGGGCAGGAGTAGGGGAGAGAACAGCATTCACTGACCACCAACTGTGTGAAAGAGCCCCAAGTAAGCTCTTTATTTATATACATTATCCCATTTCATCCTTGCAATAGCCTTAGGCAGTAGGTATTATTACTGCTATTTCACAGATGATAGGGCAGATTTAGAGAGATTAAATGACTGGCCCCAGGTCACACAGTGACTGAGTGAAGGTTCCATCTCAGCACTGACTAAATCCTGTGTTTGCCATCTGAATTCACAGCTACCTGTGTGGGCAGAAAACTCTATAAAGCAAAACATTTAATTTAAAGTGTTCCTGGGGTTGCAGAAGGAAATGCAAACCCTCTTTGGAGGAAAACAACTTCAAACCAGGCCTCAAAGAATTCTCAAGATAAAGTTCCAAGGAAAATAAATAATAAGGTCATAGTTTAAAAAAGAAAATCACGACAGGCAAGGAAACAAGGCAATATGAGCCAGAGCCAGCAAAAACAGCCGACAGAAGAAACATTGGATATGGATATGGAACTTATCAGACACAGATTATGAAATACCAAGTTTAAGAAATAAGAGTACATTAACAATATAAGTAAGGAATAAGAATAGCCAAGTAGATTTTTTTTTTTTTTTGAGACAGGGTCTTGCTCTGTCTCCCAGGCTACAGTGCAATGGTGTCATCATAGCTCATAACAACCTTAAACTCCTGGGCTCAAGCGATCCTTCTGCCTCAGCCTTCCAAGTAGCTGGGACGACAGGCATGTGCACCACCACACTGGCTAATTTTTCTACTTTTTGTAGAGACAGGGTCTCGCTCTTGCTCAGACTGGTCTTGAACTTTTGGCCTCAAGTGGTCCTCCTGCCTTGGCCTCTCACAGTGCTAGGATTACAGGTGTGAGCCACCGTGCCTGGCCCAAGCAGATTTTAAAGGAACCATATAGAACCCTTAAAAATGAAAAATATAACAATTGAAATTCAGATGGTTTAACATTTTAAATTAGAATTTCCAGAAGAGGAAGAATGTGGATGAAGCAATATGCAAAGAAACAATACAGATGTCCATCTTCTCCTAAACTGATCTATAAATTTAATGCGATTCCAATGAAATTCCCAACTAGGAGCTTTTTCCCAAGGAACCTGGCAAGATGATTCTACAATTTCTATAGAACAAAGCTGTTCCTAGAGAAGAATGAAGTGGGAGAACTTGTGCTGCCATTATCAATACTAATTATAAAGCCATAGCCAGCACAGTCCTGCAAGAGAGAAAAATTAGAATAGAGCCCCAAATTAGACCCAGGCATGTACAGAAACGTGCTTAAAGTGAGAAAGAACGCTGCTGATGGGGGTGGAAGATGGACTATTGGATACGTGGTACAGGGACTACAGGTTCTCCATGTAGAAAAATATACAATGGAATTCCTACCCCAGGCCAGCCACAAGAATCAAAACCAGATCGATCAAAGGCTTACATGTGAAAGACAGAAAGGAGGCACTAAAGGAATGATGATTACAATTTTGTCTTTGTATTTTTTGACAAATTTGGCCTGGAGGTGTTTGTGCCTTGACCAAGGAGGTAGCTCCATTTCATGATTTCTCGACTCCTTTTCTCCTTGATTCTTCGGCACTGATGACTTCCTAATAAGGGCTTTGATCCGTCCGCAGTCACAATCATGATGCAGTGACACCCTCAGGGACCCGTGGGTGTGCAGCTTCTGCGCCTTCACTCCATGGCTTTTTAACTTCACTGGCTTTTTAACTTCTTGAGCTGATTACTGTGGTTTCCCTCCTTCCTCTTCTCCAGATGTCACTTCTTCCTGGTCTCTATCTGCTGCTCCTGGCATGGGCAGAGGTCGGGTCCAGCTACTGGACCACTCTGAATCTGCCAGGGGCGGAGGAAGGGCACAACCAAGCTCTCAGCGTTGTCTAAGAAAGAAGCTTCCTACAGAAGAAAGAGACTAGGCTCTGGGACATTTGAAATGTTCACCTTTTGGCTCTGTTCCCGACAACCGAGGTTGCTGCACTGTGACCGCAAGGACATCTGGGCTGTAACTGTGTGTACCTGCATCTCACTCTCTCTCGAGAACTGATCTTTAAAATAAACACAGCCCCATGGGGGCCCCTTTCAAAGTCATCACCCCAGGAGGTCACGCATGTACGTGAGGGATGCTGCCTTGGCTGACAAACCTCTTTTGAAGCGCCTTTGGGGTCACCTCCCCCTGCACTCAGACAGCAGCTAGCTTTCCTAACAGTCTCACCCACTGACCACACACTGCAAGAGAGCCTCTCCAGGCATAAACAGCATCTGCGGTGACCCAGGATACGGCAGTTTTAAAAATCCTCACTCTACGAGCAGGGCTTTTGTGGCTGAAAATGAGAATGGGGTGGTGGGGGCAGGGGACAGGCAGGGATAAGGTAAGACAGCCCTGGGAGCCCACCCATTGCCTCCGCAGCCGTCACTGTCCCTCTGGGCCAGCAGAGGGCAGCCACAGCACCTTTGCGCGGTGTTGGCTCCCTTCCTCAGTGGGTCAGATGCGCAGCATTAGAACATCAACAAAGTTCCCAGGGCCCAGAGACATGCCCAGATGTCTGGAGCCCCACACACTGGTACTTAAGATCTTAGGCACAGATACAGAAAAGGACAGAAAAGGAAGCTTTTCATCTAAGCATATAAGCAAACTGATCAACATTTTAATTTCATTTACTCAAAAAAAGATATTTTATAGTTAGTTGAGTCAAAAAAAATCGGACAGTAAAACATACGTGAACACTCATACGCTGCACAAATTGGTACAAACTTCCTGGAGGGCATTTGGTATGGCACTGAAAAATGTAAAAATGTGCATCCCTTTGGCTCAGCTATTTGGTTTCTAAGAATTTGTTTTAAGAAAATAATCACAAACATGTGGCGAAGATTTATCTACAAAGCGGTTTAACACAGCATGGTTTTTCTGTTTGTTTGTTTGGAGCCTGGGTCTCGCTCTGTCACCCAGGCTAGAGCACATTGGCACGATCATAGCTCGCAGCAACCTCAAACTCCTGGGCTCAAGCGATCCTCCTGCATCAGCCTCATGAGTAGCTTAGACTACAGGTGCGTGCCACCACACCTGGCTAACTTTTCCTATTTTTTTAGTAAAGATGGGGGTCTCACTCTTGTTCAGGCTGGTCTCGAACTCCTGGCCTCAAGTGATCCTCCTGCCTTGGCCTCCCAGAGTGCTGGGATTACAGGCGTGAGCCACCACGCCCAGCCCACAGCATGGTTTTTAACAGAGGAAAGCTAGAAACAACCTAAATGCACACCACCAGGAAAAAGGCTAAGTAAAATCTGGCCATCTATACAAACCATCGGTGGCAGCCATTCTGTGACAGTGAGGCAGGATGCTGAGTAACGTGGGGAAACGTCCACAATACAGGGGAAAAAGCTTCTAAACGGCTAGTACTCTGTGCTCCAGCTTTTGCTTTTTTTTTTTTTTTTTTTTTGAGACAGAGTCTCACTCTGTTGCCCGGGCTAGAGTGCCGTGGCGTCAGCCTAGCTCACAGCAACCTAAAACTCCTGGGCTCAAGCAATCCTTCTGCCTCAGACTCCCAAGTAGCTGGCACTACAGGCATGTGCCACCATGCCCAGCTAATTTTTAATATATATATTTTTAGTTGTCCAGATCATTTCTTTCTATTTTTTAGTACTCTTGCTCAGGCTGGTCTCGAACTCCTGACCTTGAGCGATCCACCTGCCTCGGCCTCCCAGAGTGCTAGGATTACAGGCGTGAGCCACCGCACCCGGCCCAGCTTTTGCTTTTAAAAAAGTATGTATAGGCCAGGTGCAGCAGCTCACATCTGTAATCCTTTGGGAGGCTGAGGCAGGAGGATCACTTGAACCCAGGAGTTAAAG